TCGGTTTGCGTCCGCTTTGAGGGATAGATTCAATTCTATCTTCGTTCTTGTAACGTTGAACAATGTCCCATACGGTGCTCTTGCTAATGTTCAATAAATTAGCAATTTCGCGAATCGATTTCCCCTTTTCCCGATGAAAAATTATTAATTGTCGCATATTAAACGATATATTCATACTTTTCCGACCCATTTCGCATATGTTTCGAACAAGACTGATAAATATTTGATCTCTAACACACTCTGTAGATAGTATAAATGGTGTGTTTGCAAACATTGTTTCGGTTACTTCCTGGAACCTGGAAACTTGCGGTGTATAGCAAGTGTCCGAATATTTTCGTGACATTAAAATAGGCCTTCTTTCTATATTTCATTAATTATTTATATAACCACGTATCGTAAATAAATATTTTTTATGTTTTTGTTAACTACATACTGCATAGTAACATACGTGAAGCCTCTTTTTGTTCTTTTTAAATATTTGTCTAAAGTACGGATTATAATAGTTAAAATTATAGTGGTGTCTGAATATTTTCGTGACCGACTGTATCTGTGATCGTCATTGGCTGACGCGTTTTCTGTTGGGTTAATTTTGATTTCGATGTGATATACATGCGCAAGTATTCAACATATCGTAGGACAAATGAAGTTCGTCAAAGATTTTTGGTTCAGCAGATTTATTTTTTCGTCGTTTGTATAACATTTCCTGTTCCGATGCAGAATTACTCGGCAATTGTAATTGATTAATTTTCTCTGCCTCTACGATCGTATTTCTGACAACCTTTCATGGTCTCTCGTCAGTAGTTGCAGCCAGTATTTATTTTATTGCAAACTGTAATAATTTGTGGACGTCCTGCTTCTGGTACATGATTATGTTCTATGCTATGAGAACGAGTATTTTTTCAGTTTAATCGTATAGATATTGTTCAATGAGGTCATTACTTTATTAGAAGTTTATTAAATCTACTAAAATACAAATTTTAGTACCAACTATTAATTTCTTTATTTATAATATAAGATCTTCGAATCCTGTGAAACGTTTTTTTTTTGTGTTAAAAACCAACGTAAATATGAACATTAAACATTACATGCATAGTTCTCCTAGTCAACGATTATCCAAATTCATAAGGAGAGGAAAATTCCCTGTCCTTTAAAGCGAACGGAGAATTATCTCAAAGAAAACAGCACAGGAAAGCCGTCGCCTACGAGGTTTTTGTAGCTACCTGACCCAAGATTTTCTTCAGGCCTCTTTGTCCCTTTCGCGACCGGTTCTTGCGACCCCTGCTGCGCAGGCCGTTACACACGCCCTCGGAAAGACTAAAATTTCCACGTCCGAAAAATCCTTCCGTCCCACGGCAGGGGTTCGCTACACCGTTATGTCAAGGTTATATCAAGGTTACACTTTTGCTCGAAAAATTTCTTTAGAGAGAGAGAGAGAGAGAGAGTATGAATTTAATTATTTATTCTCTCTTAATAAAATCAACACTAAACGAAATTTGAATTTGTACAAAAAAGCAGGAATGTAAATAAAGATATTAAATGAAATAAAAGTGATCGAAAATGCATACTTTCAAAATGGAATTTTGCAGAAATCAAATACTCGCCCAATACACTTATTCCCAACTAGATAAATGAACAAAATATGTGTACTGTAAATAACAATTTGATATTTCAATCATTTCAAGGTGGGCATCTTTGACGCCGTGTAGCAGTGTGAAAATGATAAATAAAAATGAAAATAAAAGTTATCCCAATCACCTAAATGGAGATTTATAAAGGAAATAAATTCTTTCATAAATACATATAAATAAAAATTGTAGGTAATATTATGAACTATACTCTGCTACCAATATTTTAGAGCATCATTGGTCAAAATTAAAATTTTTCACCTCGTATCGACTACGCAGCTAGCTGAACAGCTAGTCTCAGAAATCGACACATCTCCGTTCTTCGAGCAGATTAGGCGATATACCTAAAGAAGCCGTTACAACAGACAAGAAAATCGTCCGGGTCCGAACTAGTTAATTATTTTAAAATTAACGTTCTCCGGCAATTTTGACGCCAATAAATGGACAAAACGAGCAGCAGACCCATCGAAGCGACGAACAGAAATATATTTATAAATCAAGTTACTGACGACCGAGGACAATACGAAAAAGTAATAAAAAGAAGGACAATACGACAAACAGAAATCAAAATCTCGACGAAGCGGCATCATTCTTGTACTATTAACGGTGTAGCGAACCCCTGCCGTGAGACGGAAGGAATTTTCGGACGTGGAAATTTTAGGCTTTCCGAGGGCGTATCTAACGGCCCGCAGCAGGGGTCGCAAGAACCGGTCGCAAAAGGGACAAAGAGGCCTGACGAAAATCTTGGGTCAGGTAGCTTGAAAAACCTCGTAGGCGACGGCTTTCCTGAGCTGTTTTCATCGAGATAATTCTCCGTTCGCTTTAAAGGACAGGGAATTTTCCTCTCCTTATGAATTTGTATAATCGTTGACTAGGAGAACTGTACATGTAATGTTTAATGTTCACATTTACGTTGGTTTTTAACACACAAAAAAACGTTTCACAGGACTCGAAGATTTTATATTATAAATAAAGAAATTAATAATTGGTACTAAAATTTGTATTTTAGTAGATTTAATAAACTTCTAATAAAGTAATGACCTCATTGAACAATATCTATACGATTAAACTGAAAAAATACTCGTTCTCATAGCATAGAACATAATCATGTACCAGAAGCAGGACGTCCACAAATTATTACAGTTTGCAATAAAATAAATACTGGCTGCAACTACTGACGAGAGACCATGAAAGGTTGTCAGAAATACGATCGTAGAGGCAGAGAAAATTAATCAATTACAATTGCCGAGTAATTCTGCATCGGAACAGGAAATGTTATACAAACGACGAAAAAATAAATCTGCTGTACCAAAAATCATTGACGAACTTAATTTGTCCGACGATATGTTAAATGCTTGCGCATGTATATCACATCGAAATCAAAATTAACCCAACAGAATACGTATACGGGAAAACGCATTCGACAAAATATCGATAGACATCGTAGGTCGTCTTCCAATTTCACTTAGCGGCTTTGTGAAACTACGTTCCAACTCTTCAAGATCTTTTCACTAAATATTCTTTCATTCCCTTAATAACTGTACAGCGACACCCGAATGGCGATCGTAATTATTGTTCGAAATATCCGTTAGCAGATATCAGGGATTAGGTGAGAGAAATCTTTCCTGATGTTTCCGAGCCTGAAAATGAGTTTCTCTTTCTTCTATCTGCACGTGCACAGCAGACCTCGTTGATGAAAACGTGGCCAGCCGTGTACTGATACAGATCTGCGCGGCCGCCAGGTCAGCGCGGCCTGTGAAAAACTCATAAATTAGTGTCAGTAAAATGCGGGAAGGTATCGTCCTTTTACCCTCGCCAAATAGGGCGGCGGTTTAAGCATTGACTCAGCTGAAATTTTCACAACCTTTCTTGCATAGGAAGAACTTGTCCTTGATCAAAGAATATTTTCTGTTGAGTATCTTTTTTATAACCTAAAAACCTAGCTATTGTTCAACAAAACTGAAAACATTCACTTCGAACGCCTGCTATTTCGACAAAAATCAAAATTTCGAAAAATCCTTTGTTCCAGGACAAGTTTAGACTATCAACTAAGGAAACATTTTTCGTACATGATTTGAGATAACCATGGTCCGAGTAGTGTGTTTTTTGGAAAGCCCTCAGAAAAACTGCCATAACTTTCACACTTCTGCACATTTTTTAATAAAAAGCAAATATAACTAGTAATACGGGGCATGATTTTTCAAATAAAGGAACATAGGCTAAAAAAGATATTAAAAATTTCGAGGAAAAAATTCCTAAGGGACACCATTTTATTTAATTCCTGACTGAGCAAGAAGCGGCACATCTGCACGCCGCGTAATTGCAGACTAAATAAATCACTTATAAATAGCGTTATTTAAGTGTTCACGCAAGAATTTATCTGCCGATTCGCCGCGCCTATGGCACTATTAACCGTTTGCAATCGAATGGCGACTCCGAGACACCACTAAATATTGTTATATCGCATTCCAAAATAAATTTTGACATTGTTAAAGTTCATTCTATTTGAACAACTGTTAAAAGTGTAACTGTTTTATGAGTCATCAGATTCTATTTCGTACGCGTAAAATGCACTAAATCATACAAAATTAGACATAAAATGACTGTTGGATCCTTAAATCAATTGCTTTATCACCAGAAGCTGAACTCAGTCGAAAGTAATTATTTCGGCAGCTATCCGCGAGCCACTCTAATGGGTCTTTCTACCGAAGAAACCCTGTCGGCGGCTCGAATGTAGTGGGCCGTACCCTACCCCCACGAACTTTGCAGTGGGTAGTGGTTTCCTCGCCAAGAAGGGACACTGCCCAAAGACGAGCTGCCTGATTGGTCAAGGTTCAGTCCACCCCCATGTAGATTTTTCATATAAAAGCGCGCCACCGACCAAAATCCGTGTATACGGTTGTCGACATTCAGTGTAATTTCCACGCCGATAGAAATATCTCAGTCAGTAAAATGCCAATTCCACGTGGAAGCTACCAAGAAGAAAAAGAAGGGGAGTTCTACGGGCCGATGGACGGAGTCGTACCGGCTGATCATCCGCATACATACGAGAAGTTAGTGAGACTGCTTTGTTTCGTCCCGTACTCCAGTACTCTGATATTTGAATCAACCGATCATCGTCTATGCGGAAATTGTTTTCAAAAGCTCGACCAAGAAGCCCGGCGCCATTATCAACAAGGAGGTTGGCACTCAATTGGTACACGGGTTATTCGATACATGGCGACTCATTGTCACACATGTAACACTCACATAGCCTTTGCACGATCAGCGTGGCGATGCCAGGACTGTATAGAGGAGCATTTCGAAATGACTCATTTGGAATGGGCGAAAATAGAGAGAAATGTGCTCGTCGACGTAGTGCGACGATGGTGACACATGCGGCAGATTTCGTTTTATGATGTCCCTGTATTAATACAGCATGTATCAATTCGAGCACAGTGTTCAGTGAAAAGAAAAGATATGATACCATTGTTGGGATTTTTGTGTGAGATATTAGTACGCTTGATTAAGTACTTTAAAATTCCACACACTGCTTATAATGTTTACTTTGTAACAGTATCGCTCTGATGTCAGAACATAAGCAATAAACGCAGGGCCTTGGAGCCTTCGTTTGTTGTACAACGTTGTTTTTTGTGTACGTTTGCTATACATGTAACATCAACTTAAAATGAGAATAAGTGCGGCGATTAGTGCTACTGGTTCCGACCTTCGAAGTGCATATGTACATATCTTTTGACTATTAAGGTAGAATTAATTTTACAGTGAGATTAAAGCTAAATTAATTATTTTTTTCTACTTAGACTAAAATTGCGATATTAAATAGAATTAGGTGAATCGACTGTAAATACAATGCAAAAGCGTGCAAGTAAAATAAACGAATCTAATAATTGTGCAACAAATAAAAGTTGTAAAAGAACATCGTATACCAAAAATAGTTTAATAGAAGAAATGGAAATAGGGGTCTTCATATTTTGGATTAAAGACTCAACTCGAAAACGAATTGCCATTGACGGAGATTTAATTAAAGAGAAAGCGAAATAATATTTCATTTAGCTGAAAGATCAAGAACTACGTACATAGTAGCAAAAGATAAATCAACTCTGATATCTTCAAGTGACGAAAGCAATTACGAATCACTTCGATTCACTGCGATTCCCTGCGACGAGTACTATTGAATTATATAAATTTTGAAAATTTTCGATGTTTAAAATGAGAAATAAAAATTTTGTAAAATGTTGCCATGCGTAAATTTAATTATTTATTTTGTTTAGGAAGCACTTTCTCGCTATTTCGCAAAGCTTTAACATATTTTCTAAGTGGGACACCCTCGCGTATACATATAACTGTTACATTCTATTTATTTTAATTAATAAATCGAAAGAGATTGATCGCAGTTTCGAATTTACCTAGATACACCGTATACGGTTCGGAAAATGGAGGTTAAATATTACGAATAACAATGAATTACATATAAGATCTGGATTTTATATAAATAATAATTATATTCCCACTGTAATTCCATTATTTATTTATTATACTATATATATAATATATTATTATTAATATATTATATATATTAATATATATAATATATATATATATGTAAAATATAATTTATAAAATATAATATGTATAATCCTGGAACAGAGAGAGCAGAAGTTTTCCATTTCTTGAGATCCCGGTTCGATTCGCCTCTCAATTACCTACGATCTCCTTACAGGAACTGTTGCATCATTCGAGAAAGTCTTTCGTTATGCTGTTCTCCTGAGTGCTATCGTCGAAGCAAAGCCCATCGCAGCCGTTGGATTCGAGTCGAGCTCCGTGTCTTCTCGACCTCGTCGCTCTTTTTATTCAGATCTATTAGCTCCAAATTGTTCGGTGGGTTGCGATTAGCATAACCCCAATCTGGATGCACCACGTGATCCCTCACCGTTCCTCTATTTCTGTCAAGCTTTGCCCACTTCTCGTTAACATTGATAGGTTCCAAATAGGGATCCTCCTCCTTCTTTAGCATAGGCGATGCCTCAACAGCGTCCTTGGGACTCGTGCACAGGTAGCGAGACTTCACCGTGGTCCCAGATGCGGAGCAATTCGTGCAAACGCGAGTTTGCGAAGAAGGAACGACGTGGTCGGGAGCAGAGACCATCATCAGGTAATCTTCCTTTCCGCCCTCCAGCAGAGCCCTGTTCATGTCGAGATATGGGGCGTTTAATTCGATGTAGTGCTGAAATTACCAATTTCGATTTCAATCGAGCCGCCTAGAGATAATTCAGAGTTAAACGCGAAAATCTTTCGAAATTATCATAACTGAACGTACAGGGCGTTTCAGAATTATTGTGCAAGCGAGAAATGAGGGGTTCCTGAAGTCATTTCGAGTAACTCTTTCCTTAGCGAAAATGTTCCGCGAGGCTTCGTTTACGAGTTATCGGCGGAAAACAGTGACCAATGCGAAGCGAGATCGGCTGGTGCCAAGCGCCAGCCGAGCACCCCTCTCATTGGTCACTGTTTTTCGTTAATAACTCGTAAACGAATCCACGCAGAACATTTTCGCTAAGGAAAAAGTTACTTCAAATGACCTCGGGAACCCGTCATTTCACGCTTGTACAATAATTTTGGGATACCCTGTATACTTTCTGTGCGATCATGTTGATAATGAAATGTGGATTATTCGATACCGTGTTCGAATATGCAATACATTTCGAGATAATTTAATTCATCTGGATATGAGCCGTTTATTTTGAAAGTGGCATAAGTCACTTTACCGTAATGAAAAGTGGTGATTTTTTAATGTTTATATTTATACTGAGAAAAATATCAGTATCCTGAGATAACAAATACAAGTAAATCTTCTCGAAAGTTAGCATCCATATTTTTAAACGTGTTAAAACGCAAACCCTTAAATAGAATATATTTAAGTCGATATTATCGACTTAAAAACAAAGTAACTTATGCCACTTTCAAAATAAACGGCTCATATGTCGATCTGTATAAAGTGATACAAAGATTACTCGGGGAACTCACCGCTTTCACATTGTCCTCCAAAAGATGTCCTACACTCTCGACTAGCTCCGTGAAACTTGGACGTAGAGAAGGCTTCTCCTTCCAACACTGGCACATTATGTCGTATCTAGAAACGAAAAATTTCAAAGCATGAGTTATCGTTTACAAATTAAATTGTACACTGGCGAGCAATGAGATAGCACACTTTTATTTATTTAACATTGTAACCAAGGTTTCGTTTCTATACGAATTTGCAAAAAATACCGCTATAAATAGACACAAGCGAAACAGAATTGAATTTCGTTAGTCTAAACAATTGTATTTGGAAAAAAAAAATTTCTATGGAAATACAGTGGGATAAAATGATAGCACACTTANAATGAAAAGTGGTGATTTTTTAATGTTTATATTTATACTGAGAAAAATATCAGTATCCTGAGATAACAAATACAAGTAAATCTTCTCGAAAGTTAGCATCCATATTTTTAAACGTGTTAAAACGCAAACCCTTAAATAGAATATATTTAAGTCGATATTATCGACTTAAAAACAAAGTAACTTATGCCACTTTCAAAATAAACGGCTCATATGTCGATCTGTATAAAGTGATACAAAGATTACTCGGGGAACTCACCGCTTTCACATTGTCCTCCAAAAGATGTCCTACACTCTCGACTAGCTCCGTGAAACTTGGACGTAGAGAAGGCTTCTCCTTCCAACACTGGCACATTATGTCGTATCTAGAAACGAAAAATTTCAAAGCATGAGTTATCGTTTACAAATTAAATTGTACACTGGCGAGCAATGAGATAGCACACTTTTATTTATTTAACATTGTAACCAAGGTTTCGTTTCTATACGAATTTGCAAAAAATACCGCTATAAATAGACACAAGCGAAACAGAATTGAATTTCGTTAGTCTAAACAATTGTATTTGGAAAAAAAAAATTTCTATGGAAATACAGTGGGATAAAATGATAGCACACTTAACTAAATTACGTACAGCAATAAATCAACGAATGATATTTAGTGCTTAATATTTTAGGGCTCCTACTTGATATTTATTAACAGTTATTACTATCTTCGGCAACTATTTATAGAGATTTTTAATAGTTTTTTGCTTTAATTGCTCTCACTCGTCTGGTATTCTTTTTCTTCATTCGGCAATGTTTTGAAATTGCCTACCATTTGCATAAACAGTAACTTAAAATTAATTTTTATACGATTATAAAAACGAGCTGCAGAGCTCGAATAATCGTATCTCCTCTTACCAAATTGTCCATTTCAAACAGATTGCAACACCAATTTTCAACAATATGATTTTGCTAGCCAATCCAGAACGCGATTTTTTTCTCGAGAAAAATACTCCTTTATTACTTTCGCATTACTAACCATGCAAAATTTCTCGGGAAAAATAAGTGGATTTTTCGCACGCAAATTTCAAAACCTCGACAAGCCTACTTGTTTTCGAATATAATTGAAAAAAAACACTGTTCAAATTCGTTTTCAAGTGAGAAATCTTGAGCAAACCTACACTTCGGGGATGGCATATTCAGGCTGCTCCATTCTGTAACCCTCGATCAGCTTCTGGTACACTATATTCGTCTCCATTCCAGGATACGGAGTCTCAGCCAACGTGAAGAACTCCCACAGTACTATGCCGAACGACCAAATGTCCGATTGCGTGGAGAAAATTCGATCCTTCATCGTTTCGATGGCCAACCACTTAATGGGCAATGGACAGTCGCTTCTCTTTTTGTAAATTTCTTCTTTGTACATGCTCTTGGCCAGGCCGAAGTCGCATATCTTCACTACATTGTCATCGGCTAGCAGGATATTTCTAGCGGCCAGGTCACCGTGTAATACCTGTACATTCATTTTTAAAAAATGGTATATATGCGATCCGACATTTATCCAGTAGCTTATCTCCAATGCAAATGAAATATTGCAAAAGTCACAGTTCACTATTTAATTGTTATATAAATAGACTGCAGATATTACGCTAATTCGTAGTAAGTATAGAACATATAGAATTATCACGCACAAAACAAAGTGAATACTACCAAAAATGATTGATATTTTCATTTTCATTTAATTATATAGTTCGCTTTGAAATAGAAATTTTCTGTATAGTACAGTTCTGATAGAATTATTTGAGACGAGAACTCGCAGAAACTCACCCTTCTCTGGCTGAGATATTCCATTCCACGAGCTACTTGGAACGCCCAGGACAACAGATCCTGCGTGCAAATTGGTTTTAAATTAGAGTCCTTGTAGTCTCCCCGACAGTTGGACCAACCAGGTTGAGATGAAGCACTATTAAGAACGGAATCACGTGCTGACATACCGACTCCCTGGGAATCTGTAGCTGGCGGGTGACACTGCACCGAATCAGATTCAGAACTGCGGTTACTGAAACAAGATGACAATTCCGCAGATTTTACCCTATCGCGCAGACAGAGAAGAACAGAAAAGCGCGAGCACCGCAACCCCTTGCATGCACCAGTAGTTTCATCGTGTTAATCACCGGAAGCAAATAGTTGCATTTCGATGCATGAAACGATACTGTTACGTCCCTATTAATTTACTTATTCCTTTAAGCAGTATGAACACATATATGCGTTCGGCAGAATCGTTAACAATGGGTTTTTGACGCATATATGGATATTCAAATAACCATTTAATTTGGACTTTGAACACACACACACATATCTGGCTTATCATAAAACCACTCAATCTGGATTATGAACGCATATATGGGTTCTTACACAACCATTCTGGACTACGAAATGTATTTATTTATTCCTATTACCATGTTAACGTCAAGAATGAAAATAACACTTATTACAGAATATGCATTAACATGTAACACAAAGCATGAGGAAGAAATGATAACAACGAACCTGTTAGTGCTGCAGACACCGCCAGTTCTCGTTAATAGTTCGAGGCCGATGCTAAGATCTAATTTTCCAGTTGCTGGATCGATTTGATTGATAAAGCCGCTTCTGTGCCTCAATAAGTAATTGTGCAAATTACCAAATCGGCAGAATTCAACGATGACCAACAATTCGTCTGGAGAATCAACAGAAATCACTTATAAACGATATTGATTATTGCAAAGAAAATACAGTGAACAGAGCTGAACAAAGTAATTTTTTGAACTTGCAAGAAACTTAGAGCGTCGAGCAACATATTTTGTGAAAGCGAAATAAAATGGCTATAGGAACTAGCGAATAAAAAAAACTGTGTTCTTAAACGGTAATTAATCATTTTCACATGAATATATGTATATGCTTTGAAATTTGGTGCTAATTTATATGAAAAATGATACTTTCGGTCCTATCTAATCCCTAAATTAATTAACGGATAGAGGACGCACGTTTCAAGATATTTTTTGTGCAGGCGCCAAGAAGGTTGACAACGTTCAGGTGTTTGCCAACATGTACCAAAATCTTGAGTTCGCTGGCTAGTGCACATATATACATGAGATTGTGAGCACGGCGGACCATTTTTACCGCTACAGCAGTAACCGCCTCGCCTTCGCAAATGCAAAGAGCGTCCGCTTTCACGACTACGCCGAACGCGCCGCTTCCCAAGCGTTTTCCTGTGAGTCGTTCAGTCAAATAGTTATCGCTGACAATTATTAGCGAAATCTACTTCGACAACGAATATTTTTCCAAGTACAACGGTACGTTTTTGCATAACATTCGAGCAATTATTAATCGAGCGAATTCCAATTTACTTTGAAAATTACAGGTTCGAAGACGGATTTTAGTATACTCAGCAATAGAAGAAATTATTTTGCAGCGGAAAAAATGTCAAGAGAAGATTTTCAATTGAAGCTTACCCAATTTCAATTTTTCCTTGGGAAATTCCCATTTGTTGTCATAAGGGAGAAGATCTGCTTGATCGTCTACTGTCAAGTCCGGATTCAAATTCTCGACATTTCCCTTCTCGAAGTGCATAAAAGCAGCTTCCACTAATTTCCTTCTCTTCATCTGCAGCACCATGGATATCGGTGAAATTGTTATGATGTCAAACGCACCGCGCAATACTAACCCGAGAAAGATAACCTACGTCGCAGAGGCGCCTGCGAAGACTGTTGATTTTTGTTAATTTTTCATAGAGGTCTAGTGATTTAAGTTTAAAATTACTTAAAATATAAAAAAATATAATATAAATGCATTTTATTTTTACAATAATGCCAAACCTTTAAAATGACTAGATTAACTTAAATAAATATCCATTGTTAGTATAAAATTGACGCCTTAGAAAAGCATGCGCCTCTGAAGCGTATGGTTATCTTTTACGTACGTTGTCATATGGTTATCTTTCTAGGGCTAATAACTGTACTTACTCCATCACGGCGAACCTTGAGGACGAAGTAGATCGCCAGGATCAAAACGGTCACTGCTAACATGACGATTAAAACGATCAGACCTACAGGTCTGTTATTTACTATTCTGAACCCTGATAATTTACAAAAAAAGGTTATAGTAGAATTTCGTTCTCTCACGCATCTACCATGCGCAATTTAACAAATTACCTTTTATCGTTAGTCGTTGAGAAACTTCTACTTTTCCAATTCGATTCTCCGCTCGACACGTGTACTCGCCGCTGTCGACTTCCGATGGATATTCCAGTTCAAGATTTTGGGAGTTGTTGGTAATTAGCTTCTCATTGCTAATTACCAACTGTGTACTGTCCTGCCAAAATTATGTCGATTTTCATTAACTTGCATCGATATAAATGTCTGAATATAATAAAATGGTAAAATGGTACAATTTTATAACGGTAAAATGGTAAAATGGTGAAATGACAAAATGGCAAAATGTCGAAATGGTAAAATGGCAAAATGATAAAGTGGCAAAATGATAAAGTGGCAAAATGATAAAGTGGTAAAATGGTAAAATGGTAAAATGGCGAAATGGCAAAATGGCAGAATGGTAAAATGGTGAAATGACAAAATGGTAAAATGGCAAAATGATAAAATGGTAAAATGGCAAAATGGCAAAATGATAAAATGGCAAAATGGCAAAATGGTTAAATGGTAAAACGGTAAAATGGTAAAATGATAAAATGATAAAATGGTGAAATAGTAAATAAAATATAAACAGTAAAAGATGATCCTGATTAAGAAATATAATATTAACTATTAATCGATTACCTTAAACCAACTGATGCTTGGTTTAGGCATACCATCCGCGAAACAGTGAAAATCTACTCTTTTGCGACCTGGTGTGGTAATATCAATGGTTATCTCGTTTTTATTCAAATTGGTATCGATAATAATAGGTGCTCGTACAGCTAAAACGAAATTAATATTATTCAAAAATACATCATTATCAACTTTTTTAAAAATTTGCATTTTCAATTACCGTTCACTTCTAAATGATATCCAGCAGACCGAGTAAAATTATCCGTGGACTTCCCTGTACAGATATAATCCTGCGAGTCCTCTATTGTCACGTTCTGTATCTTCAAAACTGATCTGTACGTGAGTTGCGTCCTCTTTCGATCGATAGAAATTCTGTCTAAAAATTTAAGTATATTATTTTCAGTTCGTTCAATCTCTTATTGAACATTATTGCTTTTTGCGATTAACGCGATTTTTGCGTCAACATTGGAAATAGAATTACCAGATTGTACAATTGAACCAGTTTCTTTGCTCCAGTCCAAGATGTCCGAATAATTATGAATCGAAGCAGCGCAGATCAGCTCCCAGTCGTCACCCTCTGCTACTGGCTCCTTTGTGAGAATGATACCGAAATCCCCGCCTTCATCTAAAATATTTAAAATATTCATTTAAAATATTTTAAGTACGAATTGCCTAAACTTTTCGATAGCATATCTAATGATTTTCGATAGCATATTATTATATTATATTATATTATATTATATTATATTATATTATATATATATTATTATATTATATTATAATATAGTGCATATTATAACATAAGCAAAAACTTATTTCGTCTCTTAATACTTTGATGACATTCTTGGATGAAATCTATGGTCTAGCTCTGATGCGAAAGCATTCTGGTTTGCTAATCGTAAACTGTGAGTCTGGTCCCGTTCTTACCTGAAACAGTCATCGTTCTGATGACGGTATCGCAGTAAACAATGTTGCACGCCGTGCAAGTAAGCGCGCCAGACTTTTCAATCCTCATCCATAGTGTAGAGATCAGCTGAATCTCGGTTCCGTATTCCCTGGCGTTCTGTACGAATATCCCTTGATTTAGTTAATCGGTCCTAATTAGTGAAACGGGTTTACACGGACTTTCAATCAACACTAAACCATCGAGTTGGTAGATCGATCGATGTCACATGTTTCACTTATGAAAGTTGTTGGAATTATGAAGACTCGTTTATGGGAAATGTTTGAATCAATATTTTCATCCAAGCAGACATTATAATGGAAATGGTGTAAGGTTTAAATAAAATCGGTTACGACTTATGCTCGGTAGTTTTGGTGTTAAAACATTGCATACCGTTAAGTACTCGAGGGTACCATCGTCGCAAGCCGGATAATTGGGACACTTGCGATAACTCCAGGTTATATTCGGCTTCGGGAACGCTTCCACATAGCATTCTACTTTTGCCACCTGATTTTCGAAGTAGTGCGAGCTTGGTATGTCCATGTACACTTTTGGGTTGGCTACAAGACTCATCGTCGATTAGACCGGACAATCATTGCATCGATACAGTCACTCGGATTACTATTTTTACATTTCCCTTATGAATAATGAAAATGGCGTACCTAATACTTCCAACATAAAGTACAGTGTTTCCTTTTTATACTGATTGCTGGCCTGGATCGAATATGTTCCCATGTCATTTAAATTCAATCCGTTGATTCTCAATCTCGGCTTGCAACATGTATTGACAATTGAAAATTTCGGTTCCTCAGATGTCGACGAATTCGTCGTTATTTCTAATGTCGCTGTAATTTCGTCGCTATTTGTATTGAACCTACAAAATCAAACTTTGTGGATCGAGAATATGAGAAAACGTAAGTGGACTGCAAATCGTTGTGCAAAGCGATCATCTCCAGCATCGACTGGAGAAAAAAAAACAGGAACTGCACGGAAAGACTGTAATCGAGTTCTTAACGTTTTTAGTTTCGTGTCTATCCGTTTCCATGACGAGCGCATCGAATTCGCAGCCTAACTATGCGAGAGTTGGACGTTCAAATGTGTAGTGTCCTCTTACATGTCCATTTATTGTGTTATGCGGTTGGCTGTTCTCGGTCCTACAATGTACTCTAAAAACGTAATGAGATGTTATTAAACAGTTTCGACGTACCATTTTATTTCAGGCGCGGGATATGCATCTACGACGACAACCCACTCCACTTCATCACCCTCATTGCGTTCATAGTGTCTGTTAGAATCCCAAGTCGTTAACTTGATGAATGGATCGAGCGACTCTAAACATTCGACAAGCAGAAATTGTGAATAATGATTATGCTCGAAATATACAATATCGCGTTTATAAATCTTTATCAATAATTCCAATCGAACCGTTTAAAATGAAAACGTGCTGTCTTTACATATTTAGACATATACAGGGTGTCCCAAGATTATTGTACAAGCGGGAAATGAGAAGTTTCTGAGGTGATTTGAAGTAACTTTTTCCTTTACAAAATTTTTCTCCGAGGCTTTGTTTACGAGTTATTAACGAAAAAGACTGGCCAATGAGAGGCGAACTTGGCTGACGTTCCGCCCTCGCAACCATTGCCGCTGCGTCAGACGGCCGGCGCGACGCGGCATTGGCTGCGAGGGCGGAGCACTTGTTCTCCAATTGGTCCATGGTTTTCGTTAATAACTCGTGAACGAAGCCACGGATTGCATTTTCGCTAGGGAGAAAGTTATTTCAAATAACATCAGGAACCACTAATTTCCCACTTATACAATAATTTTGGGACATTTTGGAATATTTTTTATTATTATTGTGTCAAGCGGAAAATGTTTCCAATGAAATTTAATGCTATGAAGGAGTCATGAGGGTTATTACTATTTTTATATATAAATATAGGCTCTTATATATATATATATAATATTATATAATATATATCTTATTATCTTTTATTATATAATATCTTATATATAAGAGCCTATATTTATATATAAAAATAGTAATAACCCTCATGACTCCTTCATAGCATTAATATATATATACACTTACTGACAAAAGTTAAGAAACAACGTAATCGTTTGATACATTTCGGTATATTATCTACCTTCTAAGATACATAGGTTGGAACTAAAAATAGCATAATAAGATAGTATCCCATACATCAATGCTCAATGAGTTTTTTCTCAAACATACCTATACAAGAGCCACAATTAAATTGAATCGAAGAAATAAGACAAAAGCTGCGCGACATAAGTCAAAAACCATACATCGCTTAAGTTATATAATCATTTTTAATGAAAAACAGCGATGTGTGTCAATGTTCCCATAATAGTCTTAATAACATGTTGGATAACCCTTGGATTTGAGGACTGAATTGCATCTGCGTGGCATAGATACACTTAATCGAACACAAAACTTGGTCGGTATTTCTGACCATTTTTTTTCATGATTGTTTCCATTAATTCTCCTTTATCGTTAAAAGAATAACATCCTAACTGACGTCCAATGTAATCCCACAAATGTTCAATTAGGTTCAAGTCCGGGGATCGCGACTTGGCTACTTGATCGCATTAATATTTTCTTCTGCAAGAAACGTCTTAACCAACGGTTCGTCTAACCAACTTAGCTGTTTTTATAACAAAGTATTAGCACATATTAATATCGAAAATCCATTAGCTTGAGAGATATTTCAATTTTAATATTAGCATATAAAAAATCACGACTCCATATTATGGGTTCAACGTGACAACGGTTACATGATTATTTACAAATGTAGTCAACAATCGTTGTAAGAACATACGTAAACACATATGTATTCTAAGTTTTCCTCTCACGAGGGAAAAGAGGGGAAACGCTCGCCGTTCGTTGGCTTGGCACAGCAACGGCAGGGGCAAGGGTGAGGAGCGCTCGCTTTCCATTGGTGCTGCGGTGCGCGGGCAGAGAGGGAAGCGCTCGCCCGTTGGTTGGCGTTACGTTTAGCGGTCATGAGGGGGGAAGGAGCGCTCGCCATTCGTTGGTGCTTCGATGAATGGAATGGGGGAACCGCTCGTCGCTGATTGGTTCTGCCGGTAGTCGTCCTTATTGGGGTTCGCGGTTTTCTTCTCGAAGTCGCCTTATCGCTGTCTTTGCTGATACTTATTAAAATGTAATATTACGCAAGTATTTGCAACATGATTTGGTGAAGGCAGCGATTAGGCGATAAGGATGACTTCCGGTAACGCCGACGACTCTTCAAGATGCAAAGCCTGAGAGCCGGCGGCTCCCACCACTCCTTGCCCCGTAGCACCAATCAGCGACAAGCATTTTCTACTATTCCCTTCATCGCAGCATCAACGAATGGCGAGCGCTTCCCCCACCTCCTCCATCACAGCGCCAACGAATGGAGAGCGCTTCGCCTCTCCCTTCGTTGCTTCGTGCAGCGTCGGCGATCGGCGAGCGCTCCCCCCTCTTCTGCGCAGTACCAATGAATGGCAAGCGCTTCCCCCTCCTTACCACTGCCCAGCAGCGCCAACGGATAGTGAACGCTTCCTCCCAACTCCTTCAACGCAGCGCCAAGGAACGGCGAGCGCTATTCAATTTCCTGTCTCAGCAACTTTTGGCAACTTTTGTTTAACCTTCAAAGGAATCAGCCATTCGTAAGAAGCAAGTAACGAATAAGGCAAACGAAATTCTACTCTTTGCCGCAGTGCAATCAAATCCGCAGAATAAAAATCCTCGAATAGCACTGCAACCTGCAACACTGTTTCGCTCTAACACGATGAGAAAATTGCAAAAACCTTTGTACGACACTGCACTTCTACAGCACTGGATAACATCATCTTTGTTTAACATATTTAAAAACTAGATAATCTTAAAATAATGACGGGGAGGTGTAATGAACTATAGTGCCTTTACATGAAGATATAATTATTGTAATTAAGGGTATATAAATATATACCCTTCCGCTGAAAAAAGCCGAAAATTCGAAAAGGAGCTGCAAAATTGTCCATCTCCATACCATGAAATCTACAATGACCTTGTAAGAACCAGCAAACAAACCAAAATTATAGATTTTTTTAAAGAGAATAGAAGATGCAGAAAATCCGAATGAAGCAGAAGGTTCAGAAAGTGAAGGTAGATATCGCGTTCAACCGAAAAAACGTTCTCGTTTACTGTAGTGATTGTACTGAGTAGTGACCAGGAAGAAATTTATTAAATTACGATTACGTTAAATGAAAATGTGTTTTTTTTCACTTTTTTTTTCATTTCGTGTTATGTATACATTTATATTTTTAATAAAAGTTAAGTTGCTTGTATGGAATTTGAAAAAGATGTTTATTTTTAATAAGCTTTTGGTGCGTAACCCCTCTTTTTGCTCTGACACCGAATCTCATATAACACGGCATTTCCTAGGAACTTATCTACCGTGCTGTAGGAGGCTTACCTGTACAGGCTGTCCCAAAAATGTCTCGCAATCTGAAAATGGAGATGCATTTTTGCCAAGGAAAAAGTTACTATAAATGTCCCCAGGAATCCGTCATTTCCTAACTGCGCGAGACATTTTTGGGACACCTTGTATACTTATTATGCTCCCCACTCATAACCTTGATATAACCCATACTCCATCGATTTGAAATCTACCGGCGGCTTCACACGAAACGTTATCATCGTACTTACCATGCACCTGGACATACATCTTCGATTTCTCTTCAGTATCGTAGTCTGTCACTCTGCATTCGTAGATATCTTCGTCCTCGTAGGTCACGTTTTCAAACGTCAATAAGGCCGCCTTCTCACGCTCGTAATTTTCATTAATCTGATTCTCGGTCCAGGTAATGATGCGATGGCTCTGAAATATCAAACTATTGTGTCGAATTCAATACAGATGATATATTAGGTGTACCGGAAAGTTCTGTCCGATAGTGTCACTTCAAGTTTCAATCCATATGCGCATGTTGATTCGAGACATATATGACTAGCTCTCTTTATCATTGCATTTACACGCATGTACAATTCTCACGAGATTTATTATTTTCTGTACACTTTTCGACGAGAAGATTATACATTTTACGAATATCCAACTTTGGATTTAAATACCTCCGATTTAAAGAATGGCGAGACTTGGCGACTTTCGAATGCCGGAAAACTTAGAATGTGTGCTTTTACAACATGTCAATTCTATCCTAACACATAGGTATCGAAACGAACGCGAAGTTACCCCGGATAGAAAACGGTAGTGATATATTCGTGCGATTGCTTACTTTACGGCTATCCGACACAAATTCTTTCATAATATTAAAATATTAGGTCTACCGGAAAGTTCTGTCCGATAGTGTCACTTCAAGTTTCAATCCATATGCACA